ATATATATATATATATACATACATACACACACACACACACACACACACACACACACACACACACACAAACACATATATAATATAATTATTGTTACAATATTCATTCAATAATTTTCCTTCGGGAAACAGTCACACACACCCTCACATGTCACACACTGTTTTAAAAAGGCAGAAAATAAAGACAATGGATGTCATGGACTGGTCTGATGAATCTGCACTCTGTTTGCTGGAGTGCTATGACTGTACAGATTGTGAGATGTTTAAACAGTCCTGTGGTGATAATTTTGATATGTTTGTTGATACTGTATGCTTCTATGTGACTTTTTGCAGAGACATGATTCACGAGACATGATTCCATGTAGGTGGGTAAAAATTTACTCTAACAACAAATCATGGGTATAACAAAATCAGTCAAATCCTGCATAGAGAAAAATAGTTTTTTAAACAAGGAGCCGATTCTGATTTGTATTTGGCAAATAAAGAGCTTAAAAGAGAAATTCTCCTAGCTAAACAAAATTAGAAAACTGAATTAAAAAACAAGATGGCAACAAATAAGCTTGGTTCAGCCGGGGATATTTTGAAAACCATAACAAGCCTCCATAATCTAGTAGTAACCAGATTACTTTAGCGGGCTACAGCACTGATATTGAGTTAGTTAGCCAGTGCTCTTAACCAATTTTATAATTGTTTTAATCATTTAGATTTTACTAGTGAAATTGAGGAATTAAATAGTAAACTTACAGGTGGACAGCATTTTATCATTTAACAAACAGATGTGCATAGGGCCTTCTTCTCAGTAGGACAAGAGCAGTGGACCAGACAATATTTGTGGTCGCACACTTAAAATTTGTGCAAGAAAATTAAGTCCAAATTTTGAATACATTTTAATAGATCGTTACTAGAACAACAGGTACCTAAGGTTTGGAAAGATGCTGTGGTAGTCCTTTTACCCAAATCCAACTCACTGCAAACTTTTAATGAATTCAGACCCATAGCCTTAACATCAATTGTGATTACATTTTTTTAAAAGTTTGTGAGGTCTGAAATACTGAGAAGAACAGAGTACGCACTTGATCCCATGCAGTTTGCCTATAGGCCTCATTGGGGAGTAGAGGGTGCCACAGTTACTTTGTTTAATCTACTTTTTAAACATTTGGGAAAAAATGGTTCCCATGCCAGACTTCTGTTTGTCAACTTTTCTTCTGCATTTAACACAGTTTAACCACACATTTTAATTAGTAGACTTCTGGAACAGTTTGACCTTAGTAATAACTTGGTGGGCTGGATCCTTAATTTTTTAACTAATCGAACACAAAGTGTTAGAGTGAATGGATGTTTATCTGATAAAGTTTGCTCCTCAACCAGGTCACCACAAGGATGTGTTCTTTCACCTCTGTCATACATCCTCTACACCACAGGTGTCAAACTCTGTTCCAAAAGGGCCGCAGCTTTGCACAGTTTAGTTCTAACCCAAATTAAACACACCTGATCAAACTAATTGAGTCCTTCAGGCTTGTTTGAAACCTACAGGCAAGTGTGTTGGAGCAAGGTTGGAACTAAACTGTTCAGGGCTTCGGCCCTCCAGAAATTGAGTTTGACACCCCTGCTCTACACAAACATGTGCCAGAGCAGGTGGGAAAATAGAACCATTATCAAGTACAAACCAAATCTACCTTCGGGTATAAATAAAGTAACTTACACACCTACCTACATTCACACACACTACGGCCAATTTATTTATCATTCATTTTTTTTTCAGCTTAGTGCCTTAATTAATCTGGGGTCGCCACAGCGGGATGAACCGCCAACTTATCCAGCACATGTTTTATGCAGCAAATGCTCTTCCAGCCTACAACACAACACCATACACCCTTGCATTTACACACATACACTATGGCCAATTTAGCGTATTCAATTCACCTATAGCGCATGTCTTTGGACTGTGGGTGAAACCGGAGCACCCGGAGAAAACCAACACGAACACGGGGAGAACATGCAAACTCCACACAGAAACGCCAACTGACCCAGCCGAGGCTCGAACCAGCGACCTTCTTTTCAACTTATGCTGAATAGTTGGCGGTTCATTCCACTGTGGTAACCTTTGATGAATAAAGGGACTAAGCCAAAAGAAAATTAATTAATGTATGAGGTTTAGCAGTGTGCATTTGTGTTTTTAAAAACATTTATTGTTTGAAAAGAGTTTTAGTCTTTGGACACGTGATGGCGCTGTTTACTAATGCGAGATTAAAAACAGACAGACTACTTTGTCTGGATTTCCAATTCTTGAATGCGTTTTATTCTATGGAGTAAATGAATGCTGTGCTGATCCTTCAATTAGAATGACTTTCACGTCTAATTTTAATTCACACAACTAAAAAACAACGGTAATTAATCACATTTTTGCTTTCTACTATTCTGTAAGAAGTTTTGTGTGTCGTTGTGGTGTCATTTTTGCATGCGTGATTTGGCGGATGATTCAGATGTGTTTCTCCGTCATTATAATTATTTACCTGCTGTCTCTCCTCGTCTATAACACCTACACACAGACACACTGTCTCTCGTCTCCTCATTGCTCTCTGATCATTTTGACGGAGTTATTTAGAGCTGGATGATACTTTATTCCTTTGCAGCACCTGCATGTACAAGCTTTCCTGCAGGATGACTGACATTTGCACTGCATTTATTAGAAATGCATACAAAAAATAAATAAATAAATAAACACAAATATGATCTAATAAAATTCATTGGAAGTAATAGAAGAAAAATGTTATCTTAATCACAGAGATATAGTAATCAGGCTGTCAAAACAAACATTGCACTTATATAGAAGATAAATTTTGCATGTTTGCGTGGGTTTCCTTCGGGTGCTCTGGTTTTCCATGCAGTGTAGGTGAATTGGATGAGCTAATTCCGCTGTGGCGACCCCTGATAAATAGGGGAGTAAGCCGAAGGAAAATTAATGAATTTTGCATGATGACACTATTTACCTGGACAAAAACATAAAATAAAAATGGTGGCAAAAGGTTGGACAATAAAAATGAAATGTTTAGTTTTAAATGACAATAATTTCTCAAATGCACAATAATAAGTTCTAAAATGCAAACAATTCAAAACAAAAA